TATATAAGCATGAGTCATAGAGAGATAAGGATTGTTTATACAAAAATGATTCATAGTTCCGAGAATTGTTTATATCCTTTGCAGGTTCGTGCAGGTTTTAGCGTGACATCATCGCTATTTTTAGATCATAGGCCCTTAGGTAGCCACTTTTAGGCGCCATGTTGCCAGATTTCAATTTGCGTGACATCATCGATATTTTTAATTAGTGTCGTGTGCGACGGGCGGGTATAAAAAGCTCGTGAAAAAATATAAATTGTCACAGTTGTTCAAAATGGAGCGCGATCTCACCGTACGAGCAGCGAATATCAAAACGTTGGGAGAGTTCCTTCCATGGGACTACGAGTGCGACGAGTACCTCGATTCTCTGAGGCAAAAATGTCGCAAGAAGCAACGAACCGGAGTAGTCAACTCTCTGGTGGCGCAAATTGTGCGTCTGGAGGGTGTGAGGAACACCCTGCATGAGCGTTTTGTGCCCATCGGTGCTGGATACGGTGGATACGAGAAGAAGGGCTACACGTGGAAGGAGATCGAGACGGCGTTTAGGAACCGTGTGCTGACGGGTGCGGTTGTCAATCACGACTTCATCGATCCTCGTAAATTTTTGGAAGAGATAAGAAATACGGTTATTGAGCGGATCCAGAGCGTCATGGCGGAGCGTGGGAACGTTAAAATCAATGCTGCGTTCAACGGGGAATTTATCGCGGGCGATAAGACTGCTGTGAAGACCATCGCCACGAAGAATCAAGAGATATATCCAACATCTGATCTAAACGAGTGGTACACGAAGCATGTGGTTGACGTCATCCTGACATCTTTGGAGGAGTTTCAGGAACGCGACAGTGGATGGGCGTTGTCACGTATCCTGAACCTAACAATCAACGTCAACAAGTTGAATCCTCTACGCGCGGGATGCCACATCGAGTTACCGCGGAAAATTATGTTAAAAAAGGCGGTGGTCAACGTGAAATCAAATGATAATACGTGTTTCGCGTGGGCAGTCGTCGCCGCTCTATATCCGACGAAAAGAAATTCGGAAAGGACGATAGAATACCCACATTACTCAACGGTGCTCAACCTGTGCGGCATAGAGTTCCCCGTGACGCTTCCGCAAATATCAAAATTTGAGAAACTGAACACCATCTCCGTCAACGTCTTTACCACCCAAGACTCCAAAATCGTCCCTCTGCGGCTCACCGACGATAAAAAAGAGAAGCACGTCAACCTGCTCTACGTGTGTAAAAACAACGATGCACACTTTGCGTGTATAAAGAACCTGCCGCGGTTGGTGAGCTCACAACTGAGCATGCACAAATGTAAAAAGTACATTTGCGATCGGTAAGTAAAAATATACGTAAAAAATAAATCAATATTTTTATTCATAGTTTTAATCAAATAAATTATTACAGGTGTCTACACTACTTTTATACACGGGAGAAGTTGTCAGTCCACAGCGTCGATTGCGGCAAGATGAACGATTGCGCCGTCATTCTCCCCAGCGAGGACGACAAGTGGCTAACGTTCAGCAACTACAACCGGAAGGAGCGGCTCCCGTTTGTAGTGTACGCCGATCTCGAATGTACGCTCGAGAAGAAGGATGGACAAGACGGCACCACATACGTCTATCAGCATCACAATGTGTTTAGCGTAGGATATTATGTAAGTTGCACGTACAATAATTCTTTATCCGGGTATAAGTCGTATCGCGGTGAGGATTGCACAGCGTGGTTCGTCAATGAACTGCACGATTTGGCGCACCGCGTGAAAGCGATCCGCACCACCGTCGTCCCCATGGCGGATCTTACGCCGGAGGAATCGGAAAAATTCCGTAGCTCCGCGACGTGTCACGTGTGCGAGAAACCGTTTACACCGGATGATACGCGGGTGCGCGATCATTGTCATCTTACCGGGCGTTACCGCGGTGCCGCGCACTCATCGTGCAATTTAAATTACAAAGACTCCCACGTTATCCCAGTGATATTTCACAATTTATCCGGTTACGACGCGCATTTCATCATCAAAGATGTTGCCAATGCTTTCGAAGGCAACATTGATTTACTGCCGCTGACGAAAGAACGTTACATTTCATTTACAAAAAATGTTAAAGATACGGAGGATGAAAAATCAAAATTGTGTATAAAATTACGATTCATCGATTCATTCAGATTTCTCGGTACAAGTCTACAAAAATTAACATCATATTTAACTATAGATGAATTAAAAATTTCACGATCGGAATTTAGCCATTTATCCGCGGAACATTTCAATCTGCTTACTCGGAAAGGTGTGTTTCCCTACGAGTACGTCGACAGCGTCGACAAGCTCCGGGACACAAGCCTACCATCGCGCGAATCGTTTTACAGCTCGCTCACCGGAGAAACGGTATCCGAGAGCGATTACGCGCACGCGACAAACGTCTAGCAAACCTTTTCGATCGAAGATCTAGGTCAATACAGCGATTTGTATTTGAAAACAGACGTTCTTTTGTTGGCGGATATTTTCGAAAATTTCCGAAACACGTGTATAAAGAGTTACGGTTTAGATCCCGCTCAGTATTACACTCTACCGGGATACACGTGGGACGCTATGATGAAGTACACGCGCGTAAAATTCGAATTGCTCACGGACATCGATATGGTGCTGTTTGTCGAGCGCGGTATACGCGGAGGTCTCAGCCAATGCTCCAACCGATACGCCACCGCCAACAACAAATACATGTCATCGTACGATCCATCGGAACCGTCATCGTACCTAATGTACTATGATGTAAACAACTTGTACGGCTGGGCAATGTGTCAACCGTTGCCCTACGCCAAATTTCGATGGGTCGATGATGTCGCGAGCTTTGACGTAATGTCCGTTGCATCCGATTCGGCTACCGGTTACGTGCTGGAAGTCGATCTCGAGTATCCGGTGAATCTTCACGACGCGCACTCCGACCTACCGTTCTGCCCGACGCGCGATAAGCCGCCCGGCAAGCGGGAGTTCAAGTTACTCGCAACGCTGTACGATAAGCAGCGTTATGTTATTCACTACCGTAATCTGCAGCAATGCGTGCTACATGGCCTGCGAATTGCAAAGTTTCACCGCATACTGCAATTCGCGCAATCTCCATGGCTCCGCGGATACATAGAACTGAATACACAGTTTCGGACACGGGTGACAAACGATTTCGAGAAAAATTTATACAAATTGATGAACAACGCGGTTTTTGGCAAAACCATGGAGAATGTGCGAAATCACACGGATGTACGGCTCGTTACACAATGGGAGGGTCGGTACGGAGCGGAGGCTATGATCGCGAAACCGAATTTCCACAGTCGAAGCGTGTTCTCGGAGAATCTAGTCGCCGTAGAGTTACGAAAACTCGAAGTAAAATTCAACAAGCCGATCTACGTGGGTATGTGTATCCTCGACATATCCAAGATCTGCTTGTACGAGTTTCACTACGAGTACATGGCGCCTC